CTATACATACTACACCTGGAACCAAAACCAAAATATTTTACACTAACACAAATAGAGATTAACTCTGTTTGTGTTTGGAAACAACAAAGCCTGGACAATGGATTCACATTCCAAGGCACACTTGAATGTGTTTTCACATGAACACACAAAATTGTTTTTGCTTTTTGAAGCAGAAAACAGTCAATTCACAAGCATGTCTATCAGGGAGAATATACAAAGACACTGTGAATATTTATGTAAATGTATATTTTTTGATTAAGAAAACACAAAAACCTAACCGAGGTGCATTTTTATATACAAACTGTTAACCAGTTAGCTAACCAGTTAGCAAACCTGCTAAGTTGCTAGCTTTTCACTCACAACTTAACCACTTAGCTAAGTCCTGTAAACTTTATAACTTCTTTAGTAACTCCTGATAAACAATAAGATCTTCAGGGGACATCCCAGTGGAGGCATGGTGCAGACGATGGGGGATTGTACAAACATCCACTGGAGGAGACAACCCTGCCGCCAATGGCCATGTAGAGGCTGAGGTGAACCAAGTCAAAAGGCGTGCAAGGCTCCTGCTGGCGCAACACGAATGTGCAGGTCAACTCTGGCCATCGGCGATGAGGTACGCGGTGGAGGAGAGGCGAAGACGCCAGTTGGAGGAGCTTGGAGTTCCAACATTGCCTATGCTGCCATTCTATGCCACTGTGTATGTGAAGGCGAAGAAGTGGCATAAGGAGGGGGGGCTAATGGCACCATTTGTGAAGGGCAGAGGATGGCAAGATCCTTCATGTTCGAGAAGCTGTACAACCGAACACCGAGGGGGAGGATCTACGTCGAGAACTGGAAGATCAACAAGCACAAGTCCGCAGTCCGCCTACAGCTGGAGGAGGAGCCACGACCAGGCCAGCCATATCATCGCATGTGGGGAAAACAGCCATTGGATGGACAACCACGCCTTCCTCAAGCCGGAGGACAACAGGGTGCGACTATGCCAACAGCGGGGGGGACTTCTTCTCCTTCTTTTTCAACAGCTTTGGGCACAGCTTCGGGCGCAGCAGGTCCTGGGGGAGTTGCTGGTGAGACTGCGGGAGCTGGAGACACGAGGCCCGGGGAGCTGTGATTTGGAGAGATGACCCTCTGGCCATTCCTATCTCGACTACATCGTCATCATCCAAGGGTGTGCGGACGTTGAGGGCTGTCAGCGCAAGAGTTGGAGGATTCCTGGGGTGATCAACAGGGGTGCCTACAGGAGCAGCTTCTGGGGTGCATCAACCAAGTGCCGACCACGGAGGAGCAGGAGGCGGTGCAGGGTGAGTTGGTGAATCACCTCCTGGCAGGTCCTGGGCTGGCGTGATGAGATGGAAGGTCAGCTGGTGGAGTTGAGTCGGGAACATCCGACTATGTGCTCTTCAAGCTCAAGATCGACAAGGTGGAGAAGAGGAACAGATCCTGCAGACCATGACCGTCCCGCTCTCGGAGGTGTGGGAGAATGCTGACGCCTGGAGGCCTTCGTTCCAGTATGAGTACGACGTGCTGGTCAGGAAGACTGTGGCGGTGGTCCCTACGAAGAGGCACTTGTTGGCGCCGGGCACGGAGCTGGTTCCGGAGAAGATGGTCTGTTGCAAGAAAGGGGGCACGGGGGCCAAGAGATCGAGGGCGGTGATCTGCGGCAACCTGGCTTCGGAGCAAGCTGATCCACCTCCTGGAGGTCTGCCTGGTGGCTCCTACGCAAGTGGGGCGGATGGGGTGCTCATTCGGGCATCGCTGTTGGAGGCCAGTCAAGATCACTTCATTGGACGTGAAGTCCGCGTTTCTGCAAGCTCCTCGACCACATCAACCAGTTGGCAAGCCCGTGGCCGTTCAGCCGCTGAAGGTGATGGTGGACTTGGAGTCTGTGAACCGGATGAGGTCTGGCTCATACGCAAAGCCCTCTACGGGTTCAATACGAGTCCATCGTATTGGGCGATCTACAGGGATCAGGTCCTGCAGGAGCTGGCGTGGGAGGACACAACAACGTCGCCTACCACCTGATCCAGACCAAGGAGCGCAACTTGTGGCGCATTGTGTTGAAGGAGACGCGTGTGGTCAGAGGCCTTCTCCTGGTGTACGTCGACGACCCACTCGTCATGGGAGATGCAGTGGCTCGACCTGGGCTTCTCAAGTGTATCCAGTCCAGGTGGAAAACGTCAACGCCAGAGACGGTGGATGACCAGCTGGGTGAGGTTTTGTGGGTACGAGCTCAAAAGCCATGAAGGGGGTTTGCTGCTGGGCCAACCTTCCTACTTGGTGAGCTGCTGCAGAGGCACAACATCGTGGACAAGAAGACGGTTCCGCTCCCGAAGGACGCTGTACCTCCTCCAGAGGGGTAGGCGCAGGGCATTGTGGGAGATCCTATGGGTGGCCATTCGCAGCCGGCCTGACCTGTCCTATGCCATCAGCGCTATGGGAAAGGAGGTCACCAAACGGCCGAAGTGGGTGCTCCGGGTAGGACAACATGTTCTGGAGTACCTGAATGGCACAATGGACTACTTCCTGCACTATGTCCCCTGTGATCCTGGTGATCGTGGACCTCATGGTGATCTTCCTTTGGAGCGCTCTACATCGTTGGTGGAGCTCTTCAGTGACATCTCCTATGCGCCGCAAGGAGAGAAAAGTGTTCAAGGCATCGTGGCGATGATTGCAGGCGCCACTGTGCAGTGGGAAACTTCCAGCCAATCGTGTCTGGCGTTGTCAACGGCGGAAGCTGAACTGTACTCCTATACGTGGAGGCCTTAACTATGGGGGATTCGCTGCAGGCTGCCATCTCCATCGTGCGCAATCCTGATGGTCCATGGCGCACCAGGCATCTTCGACTCCAAGCTAACGTGCTTCGAGAACGAGCTCAACAGGCGCGATGGAAGATCTTCCACATGGCGGGCACGCAGCTGATCGCCGACTACCTGACCAAGAGCATCACGGTTCGAGCTTCCTGGGACCGCTTCTGGACCTCCTGAAGGTCGAGAACCAGGGTGGGGTGGCTGCCGAGGATGGGGAGGGTTCGCAGGCCGCGGTGGAATCCATGGTGCGGGTGGCGAAGCTTGCTGCGTGTCTGGCTGGGTGCGCGGCTATGACCTGGCCTTCCTACACTGCAAAGGCGGCGGTGGCAGCGGCGCTTGCGATTGGGCTGGCCTACGAAGTGAGCCGGGGTTTTAGCAGTGGTTTTTGGACGAGGAGCCAAGATCCGGGAATTCAACAAGTGAGATTTACTGAACACTCCATCCGGTTGCAACCTCGTTTGTGTGCCCTGCGGCCTTCGCCGGCAAGGGAAGAAAAAGCAAGAGGGGTCAGAACAACGAACCAGTCAAGAAAACATAAGAAACGTTCAAGAGGCCAGAAACTCATCGGCGTTGGGCCGCACGCCACCTCCAGGGGAACGTGTCTCGGAAATTGAAGGCCCTGGGGGTTTCAACCGTAGCCTAGAGGCTCCCAACTCCACTGTGTTCGAAGTGGAGGCGGCGAATGCGAGCCATGGCGTGCGGGGACGCATCCAGATGAGGCTGCCTGCTGTCTTCCGAGGTGGTCGTGAATGGCTTGGAGGAGATCAAGGGCAGCCGGAAGAGGTGCACTACACCAACTCCAGGGTGACGCAGGAGGCCATGGACGCGGGCATCTACGACGTGACAAGACCGCCAATGGTGGTCACCAGTGAGGGCATTCGGACGCTGCGTCCAGAAGAGGTGGATATGGAGACACAGACGATTCGCCTCATCCCGAATGAACGGTTGGTGGTGAAGTCTGCAAAGCGGCCTCCGGTGCCACCTCCTAAACCTGCACCTTTTCAGCCACGTGGCTATGCGGGGTCTACATCGAGTGCATCTTCACGGCCAAGCGAAGCTGCTGAACGAGGGCAGGCTGCGATGGCATCGTCGAAGGCGATGGGGACTGCAATGGGCCACACCTCCAAGGCTGCGGGAACCACTCTTCAAGGAGTTTCTAAGTTAAGTCTGCAGCCGCTATGAGGAGTTCGAGCTCTACGGGACCTCCAACGCTGGAGCGAATGCAGCAGCCGGCCACTGAAAGGCCGTGGAACCGGCCTGGCAAGGCTCCGCCGGCGCAACTCATGATGCCGGTTGGGGGCCTGATGGATGACCAGCTAGAGTTCCAAAACTCCGTGTTTTGGACACCTGAGATCCTGAATGCCGTGCAGGATCTCGTGGAAGAAGAAGCGTTGTTTTACAAGATAACGCTCAAGAGCGACAGGTGGGATCACCTGACCATGGATGGCTGCAGGTGGCTGGTCCGCTATCATGGTGGTGCGGGGGTGCAGAGGTTCCATCCAGAGCACCGCAGCTGCCCTGAAGAGATCGAGAACCTCGAGTTCATGAGGATCACGGTGGCATGGAAGGGAACTGAGTGGCACCGCCGCGTCGTCATCGACAGTGATTGGCGCCGAGCCGAGCTGCCGGGACCTGGCAGCTGGGTGGGATTTTCTGTGTTCCTCGTGCGAACAGGGCCGAGGCAAATGTAACGTCCTGAAAAGGACGGGGGGAGTGCGGATCTTGAAACAGAACGCACAAAACGAGAAGTGTACGACTAGGTACACAAGACCACAGGCTTAACTGCTTGCGTGTTTGGCTCAAGAAAACAGGACCGCTTTTCGTGAAGCATGGTACGAATTCACATTTCTGAATGGTTTTTTCAGAGAACAATACGCACTGGATCCGATTCAAGGACTTACAACAGTAGATGTTAATACAAGATGAATCAAAGCTACCTTTTTACTATGTTTATAATAAACTATTACATGGCCTTTGGTGATTTACTGTCATTCATCTAGTTGGCCGGAAGCAGCATTTTGGCATGTTTCTCAATGCGCTTGGCAATTCCCAAGCATGAGCAAGCGGCTGCACTCTGACTGTTGAAGCTGTAAATCTCAAGTCCAACATGCCTGGATGGAGTTGTGTGTAGCAGGGTGCTTCCATGAAGTTCTTGTCAGGAAGTGCTTCCAGAGTGCTAAAGATCACACCGAGCACAAGAGAGGTGGAACTTTGTGGTCCTGAGATGACTGGTAAGTTTAAGAGCCTTGTCAGCCTTGTTGACGCCCGCCCAAGAGTTGAGCGGCAATGTTGATTTGCGGCTGCCAGCTGGCCGCGCCAGCTGGCCTCACAATCCAACGCGCGCATACATGCCTGTGGAATGTCAACGATTCGGAGGATTTTACTTTTGCGTGGACCCCTCAATCAAGACAACTTTTCAAATATATATTTATATAGATTTTTTGAGGGGCTATGAAAGGAAGGAGCTGCTGATTTGCTTGTGGGGTCGCATGCAGCTTTCAAGTAGAATACGCCATAAAGCTCGTTAATGCATGATATTTTGTTACCGAGTCGTAGAGCCCGTAGAGTTTCGGGTTTCCTGAAATTGCTCTGCTCAGAACATGCAAACAATTAATGGGCAGAAACAATGGGCCCTCCCGTCGTAAAATATTCCAGGGTAGGGTCACCTCCTATTTTTCCGAATATTCTTTTTGGGAATATTAAAACCACCATGTTGATGTTGGTGTGGGTCGATGGTACCGTGGAACAATAAGGTCCGAATGTGGACGGTACCCTGGAATAATATTTGGTCGGAATTGGTTTGCATGCTCACCATGTCTCACCATGGCAGCTGGCTCAAGTTCAAACACAATCAACACTTACAATCTAAGGATTTTTTTGATGGGTTTTGGGTGAGGCATAGTGGCAGGCAGGGTTATTCTAGGCCTCTACCACAACTGAACCACCCTGGAATAATTTCTGGTGGCTATGGAGATTGTTTACAGGAGGTCAAAAACTAGTAAGGCTTCTGGGTTGGTTCTAGCAGCACAAGTGCTAGTAAAGCTTGTGGTGTGCAGGCCTTGCCTTTACTACATGTTTGCCATAAAACAGAAATTGCCTCCCTCATGTGTCTATTGGTTTCTATGAATCACCCTTGGAGGTCTTCTGGAAACCATGTGTAGTGGGGTGAGGTTCTTGAGTGCATGGCCATTAAACACGGGGGTAGCTCAGTACGGAAAAGCAGGTGACAAGCAGGAAAAGATAAAAGAGCTGAAAGTGGAAGCGGTGAACTCGTAGCCTTGTAGATGGGTTGGAAAGCT